TTGCAACCAGTATTACAAATCAGATCATGGAATACATAAAACTCATCATTGAGAACCATACAAATTTCATAGGTGACTACTGCACTATTCATTTTCTAACATAAACTTAATTTGACAAAAAGAAATTCATTTTCAGAATTTCAACAAACTAAAGTGCATCTTCTAGATTCTTTTCATGCATATTTTATTTTATTATTATTATTTTTTTGGTTTCTTAACCCTTTGATTCCCAAAAGTGATAGTAGTTAAATTCTCCTTAACATTTAATACACTGTCAAGCAGATATGTGACAAGAATTAAGAAGAAATGTATGGTCATCTGTACAGGGCTTGCAACTAACTTTTCAACTTACTAGCCAAGTGGATACTGACATCTTAGATGTTTTTAGAAGTTACGACAATTTCACTCTGTTTACTGGCCTAATAATATACATGAAAAAATTTCTCAGTTCTGATTGGTTAAGATGAATGCAGTTTTCAGTTAATTCAGTGCAGAAGAGAGTTAATTCAGTGCAGAAGAGGGTAAATTCAGTGCAAAGAAAGAAACAAACCTGACATTCTGATTGGTCAAGGTCAATGTCACTTGCAGAATTTGAATAAATTATTTTTGCATGTGATGCACGTGCTTTTCTTCTGCGTAGTTATGAGAAGCTACCTCGCATTTTTTTTATGTATATTAAATAGATAATCACATGATTTTCTCATGCAATTTGGAATAAATAAGCATCTGTAAATTTTTTCAAAGACCACAAATTGCACTCGCCCTACGTGCTCATGCAATTTTGTTAGTCTTTGAAAAAATTTACACGTGCTTATTTATTCCAAATTGCACTCAAAATCATATGATTACCTATACAAACTGGCTGGTGGAAATTGAAAAACCACAAGCCCAAACTGAATTTCTTCTAGTCTGTGGCTAGTGGGCTACCGTTAGTGTCAAGCCCTGCTGTAGAGAGAATTCACTCTTAGATCATGGGAGTGGAAGGGTGAATTAAGACTTTAAGCCACCCTGGCAAACTCTATCAGGAAAAGTTACAAAGAATGACAATTTTTGATAACCTTGAAAATGACACAAATTGTTGTGACACAGCTCCTTAAGAGCATTACTGATGTTATGAATAAAGGCTGATAGTTTCGAAAGAAACTGTTGGGGCTGCGTCGGTGGGAGTAACAAAATAATTTGGATATATCAACAAAGTTGAAATATTCACACCGACGAAGGGCTAATGCTCAAAACGTCAGCTTTTGTAATTGTTATGGTGGCCAATTTACCATTTCAACTTTACTGATATTATGATGCTTTTTTCTAGTTTTTTCCTAACCTCCAGTTATACTCCTATGCTATGGAACCTTAACCAATTTCATCAGAAAGAGCCAGGAATAAATTAGGGTATTGGCCTTTTGCATTTTGCCTCGACCACTTGCAGAAATTGGACAATATTACAGATCTTAATATGCATGCATAGGACCACCTTTAAGTACGAATATGTTAAGATTCCTCCAAGTCAAATTCCCTCGCATGAGCAGTATCTATATCCTGAACAGGAACTCTCGGATCAGAAGTCTCTGTTACAGGGTTTGTTTCTAAGATAGGGAGTGTCCCTAGTGGGGTNGTATTACAAATCAGATCATGGAATACATAAAACTCATCATTGAGAACCATACAAATTTCATAGGTGACTACTGCACTATTCATTTTCTAACATAAACTTAATTTGACAAAAAGAAATTCATTTTCAGAATTTCAACAAACTAAAGTGCATCTTCTAGATTCTTTTCATGCATATTTTATTTTATTATTATTATTTTTTTGGTTTCTTAACCCTTTGATTCCCAAAAGTGATAGTAGTTAAATTCTCCTTAACATTTAATACACTGTCAAGCAGATATGTGACAAGAATTAAGAAGAAATGTATGGTCATCTGTACAGGGCTTGCAACTAACTTTTCAACTTACTAGCCAAGTGGATACTGACATCTTAGATGTTTTTAGAAGTTACGACAATTTCACTCTGTTTACTGGCCTAATAATATACATGAAAAAATTTCTCAGTTCTGATTGGTTAAGATGAATGCAGTTTTCAGTTAATTCAGTGCAGAAGAGAGTTAATTCAGTGCAGAAGAGGGTAAATTCAGTGCAAAGAAAGAAACAAACCTGACATTCTGATTGGTCAAGGTCAATGTCACTTGCAGAATTTGAATAAATTATTTTTGCATGTGATGCACGTGCTTTTCTTCTGCGTAGTTATGAGAAGCTACCTCGCATTTTTTTTATGTATATTAAATAGATAATCACATGATTTTCTCATGCAATTTGGAATAAATAAGCATCTGTAAATTTTTTCAAAGACCACAAATTGCACTCGCCCTACATGCTCATGCAATTTTGTTAGTCTGAAAAAATTTACACCTGCTTATTTATTCCAAATTGCACTCAAAATCATGTGATTACCTATACAAACTGGCTGGTGGAAATTGAAAAACCACAAGCCAAAACTGAATTTCTTCTAGTCTGTGGCTAGTGGGCTACCGTTAGTGTCAAGCCCTGCTGTAGAGAGAATTCACTCTTAGATCATGGGAGTGGAAGGGTGAATTAAGACTTTAAGTCACCCTGGCAAACTCTATCAGGAAAAGTTACGAAGAATGACAATTTTTGATAACCTTGAAAATAACACAAATTGTTGTGACATAGCTGCTTAAGAGCATTACTGATATTATGAATAAAGGCTGATAGTTTCGAAAGAAACTGTTGGGGCTGTGTCGGTGGGAGTAACGAAATAATTTGGATATATCAACAAAGTTGAAATATTCACACCGACGAAGGGCTAATGTTCAAAACGTCAGCTTTTGTAATCATTATGGTGGCCAATTTACCATTTCAACTTTACTGATATTATGACGCTTTTTTTCTAGTTTTTTCCTAACCTCCAGTTATACTCCTATGCTATGGAACCTTAACCAATTTCATCAGAAAGAGCCACGAATAAATTAGGGTATTGGGCTTTTGCATTTTGCCTCCACCACTTGCAGAAATTGGACAATATTACAGATCTTAATATGCATGCATAGGACCACCTTTAAGTACGAATATGTTAAGATTCCTCCAAGTCAAATTCCCTCGCATGAGCAGTATCTATATGCTGAACAGGAACTCTCCGATCAGAAGTCTCTGTTACAGGGTATGTTTCTAAGATAGGGAGTGTCCCTAGTGGGGTAGGTATCTCAGGCCTCTCTTCTTGTACCCCAACCACAATAGCACCTGCCTCTGCATGACCAAGGCCCTCTTGTACTGGCTGAGGAGCTTGTTGAATCATGGGCTGGGCTCTTTGCATGGTCTCCTCCCATCTCTCTTGTCTTTCATTCATACCATTCAAAATATCATGAACCTGCCCAAGCCGATTGTGGATGGCTTCTTGTAAGGGAGCATTGTCAATTGCATTTCTGGGCTGTACAGGTGCATTATTTAACTGCCGCTCAATGTTCTGGAGTTGGTTCTGAAGCTGTTGAAGATTTCCGTGGATATTTCCGGGCATGGCCGGGGCATTGCTAATAAATGGCAGCCTTATCTGTAATCCACTAATTGTGAAGATGACAATAACAACAAGAAAGATTACAGCAATAAACACAAATGGCTGCCACTGAAGTGGGACCTCTCTGAACAAAGCTCGAAAACCCTTGCCCAAAGACTCAGCAATGTGTTCAAATGGTTGAGCAATGACAGTTGCCACTGTTGCAGAAATTGCCTGAAAATGTGTACAAAAAAGTCATTAATTAATGACAGCAGTCTCAAATAACTGCTCCACTCCAATACTTGATTCCACACTCAATGGTAGTATCTGACATTATAATTCATGTGCCTCGTTTAAATAAATAATGTCCAATGATGAAGTTTAGCAGGGACATCTGCATTTCTCAGAGGGTACTCAGTGTTTAGGTTTGTAAACATTTTTGTTAAACAAATCAAAATGCTGAAAGAAAGAGCCAACCCTGATCTTCAGTGCATATTTGATAGAAAAGTGAATCACAATATGGGTTAAAGCTGATGAGAACTCAAGGCAAGAACAACTGACCAACGCATGTGATCAAGACAGAATTACTCCTTATAATATCCATACAATATCAAGCATACAAATGATGAGAAAAAAGTAAAATATTAATTAAGGGATTATTAGTTCACTGAGCTAACATCATTTGGCATGTATAGCAGCCTCAGGCAGTACCGAGAATTACTCACGAGATATTGCGAGTGAAAGTATTAAAGATTACTTCAATTAAAGTATACTTACTCTAGAGGGAGAAATTTCCCAGAATGGATCAACAAGCAATGTTTCCTGGTATTTGATGCATATGTCATTCGTGAAAGTAAATGAGTTCCTAAACCAAAGTACTAGGGACTCAAGTGGTTGTAACTCATGATCTGGGCGACATTCCTTGGGAATATTCTTCCCCATCTGTGCTTGTTTAGAAGCAAATGCCTTTCTGTACAGATGGTACCACTCCCATGGAATACTGACAGCAAAGCACAGAAAAAGCACACACCAAAGTTGTCTCTGCCATGTCAAAGTTGTATGCTTCTCAAATACTAGTGCAGCACAGACCACAAAAAACAGTGCAGCTAGGACAAGAACTGCCTCTTTAGTCACATAAGAGAAGGATAGCAAGTCCCACTGGTTAAAGTCATAAACGCTATCTTTGCCTTTAAAGTTAGATATAATAGCAATGACTACTTCTGCAGCATCTTGGATGTTTCCTTTGTCAGATTTGATGAATTTTTCCAAGGTTGCAATGTTGTCCTTGGAAGCAGTAACTGTCACTTCATGAGCACCACGATCCTCAAGATTACCTAATATGATTCTGATTACTCTCTTAAAGTGTGGCGTTTCACATGGTGAGGCTTTGGCAACAGGTTTTTCAGCACATCCCTGGCACTGTGCAGGCAGCTTCTCCAAATTTTTGTGACACTGTGTCAGCTGTGCTTGAAGCCTCTCTGCAGATGGGTTGTGGTTGGGAGTGGAATCTCCATCTCTAGGAAGGTTACTTAAAGTACCCTGCAGATGACAAATTAAATAACTGATTACTCCCATTGATTGTACTCACATCATCATAACAAAGTGTTTCTTTCAACAATACACATCTCGGCAAGATTTCCGTATAACCCCATACCTCATTATGAACTCAATTCTTGGATAAAGGAAAGCAGAGGCAAAACAACAGATTTCCTTTGGAACTATGGCTTTGTTTTTGATTGACAAGAAAATTGACTACAGAAATCTTACCCACATCTCCATCTGATTGTAAAATTGTGAAAGTTTGTATTAATTATTTTTGGTAATATATATACTGTAAAGGAAAAGCTTAACTTCACACAAGCATCTAAAGTTACTTAATGTAGTCCCTCTACCCCTCCTCCTCCCAAAAGAAAAACTTCTGGTCCCCACTTTCACTTATATAGGTAGGCCTTTCTCACAAAGAGGATCAACCAGAATCGATCGGTTTCCGAAATCTCGCCTTTCAAAGCTATGTCGACATGTTCATTGTAGGTTAGCCCGATAACCATGTGGTATAATAACACTTCCCACAAACTTGTGACAGCTCTTCCCGCTAATCAATTCACCGGGTTCATTCAAAGAGGTCACAAATCTGCCATGAGCATTAGAATACCAACCTTACAAGTGAACAACAAGATACAATTGTTCATACAATTGTTCAAGATATAATTTATTCATTTCGCTCAGAGAAGATGGACTCCACCTTTGCGCGGAAGTAAATGTATACGTATACGAGTATCTAAACGACTCACCCCATCGTCGATGGTTTTAGTAGCTGCATCGTAATTAGTCATATCCCAAGGATCCAGCCACTCCTGAGGAGTTACATCCGCCTCTTTAGCTATCGATAAATAGCTTGAATAGCTCAAAATAACGAAAAGAAACGAAAATACTTTCATTTTGCTGCACCGTTGGTCGAAGCTTTCGCTTTGAACTCGAGAATGTAGAGGGAGATTGGGTACCAACTCTTCGCTGTTCCCCCTACCAGTCCCTACACGGGGAAATTTGTTTACATCTAAATAAAAGTGTTTTAATAATATTGTTATACATATTTAATTTTTCTGAAAACATTTCCTTTAATTTACTTCGCCGTTTTACCATCGATAGTGACCACGTTATCTCTAACGAATTTCATTTTCTGATATTTTTGTTATAAGTGCTTTTTCTCATCTGATTAGTTTTTTTATTACTCTATTTTACTTCTTTCTTTCTCTCTTTCAAGAAATGGAAGGGATGGCGGTGAAAATAGCGAGCAGTAGAAGTAAACTTGAAAATTTTTGTTCTCCCCCTCCCGTCCCCGAGTTTTTTTTTAGACTCCCCCTGGGAATATTTCGCGCCATCTTTTCACGTGGTTCGGTTATCAATTCGTTCTTATTCTTATCTTGTAATAGTATCAAGATGGGTTTCGTATACATGGTTCTTTTGAAGCCTTCTGAAATACGCTTTACAAAGAACTTACTCGCATCGGAATTCGATAACGGAATTTCCCTCTCGGAGACCTTTACTCAAATAAAGAATGGAGAAATTCTCTTGGAGGATGTTCCTGCAATAGAAGTTGTTTTCTATTCCAAGAAGTGGGAATGGTTTACTCTAAACAACCGGCGACTGTGGGTTTTAAAAGAGCTGGAAAAGATTGGTAAATGTCGCTATGTGAAAACTAAGAGAATTGAGTACCTGGAAAATACCTTTGAGTATCCCGTCTTGCTCTATGGTTCCGCAGCTCTGGCAGAAAAAAGCCGTACGTTCACGTGGAAAGGTGACAGCTTGCAAATCACAACACGGAGAACTTCGTCAAAAGAGGTCGAAATTTACCATGAAGAGGATGAAAGGAAAACCCGACAAGATTTTCAAAAGAGAGAGAGCTATTCACATCCCAATGAAAAAAGCGTTCAGTATTGTGGCAGCCGTAAGATAAGACGTAGACGATGTAACAAGCGTTATCACCCATACGGCAGACACAAAGAGCGACGTGTGAAAAGAGAATTGTATGCTGGCACCACTGTTTGCATTCGACGGCAAAGTGTTGACAGCTTAGAAGAACGGAGTCGCAGCCGCCGAAATTCTGAGACGTCAGAGTTTTCAAGTTCAGAGTACGGTTTCCATTTTAGTTACACCGTGTGGAATAAAAAGAGGCAAGCATTTTTACAACGTGTCTACTGCGTTCGCACTGGCCGTTTGAGGGATCCATCGCGATTTGTAGATGTCTTGTATACATGTGGCGTTTGTTTTAAGAGCTTCCAGTCCAAAGTCAGCCTGAATCAGCACAGTGAAGAGCTTTTCCACTGGGCCTGTGTACGATGTGGAAGGTTTTTCGAAAGTCACACCGCTCTTGGACAGCACAAACTTGCTTTGAACCATACAGTGTAAACGCACAATACTTTATATTTGTTTGGTTATTTTGGTGAGACTGACAGATAAGTCTAAACGTTAACTCTGTTGTTACTTGGAAACTGCTAGCTGTGTTTCTTACTTGTTTTAAAACGTTACAGTGCTCTTCCCATTACAGTGCTCTTCCCATTACAGTGCTCTTCCCATTACAGTGCTCTTCTTGTGTTTGTATCAATCAAATTGTTACACATGGTGAACTGCGACAAAAATTTTGAAATGTACATGAGATCACACTGTATTCTATGGTTAATCATACTTCTGCTTTCTATGAATGACAGTTTAAATTACATTCTATCAGTTGTTAGGCGAATAAGATTTTCAATTGTTCTACTGGTAAGTGAAGTAAATGTTTTAAGGCAAAAAATTATCTAAAACGAGTCAAAGTAAATACAAATACAGATAATTATTGTTGATTGATTAAGAATAATTTTCCTTAAGTTATCAAGAAATGTAAAAAATAAATAGTGATGTTAGATCTCATCCTGTTTGTATTAACTNGAACCAGAAATCGGAGATCTCACTCAGCTGGTTACTGCTTACCGCCTTTATCATCCTGAACTTATGACGGCTAGTCGCTTTTAAAACGAAAATGCAAGTTGTTCAAGGGTTAAGTCACCACCTTCTGGCCGGATGTTTCGAAAAAAAATTCCCTTACATATACTTCCTGAAACGTTAAGCGTCTAATTCGTGGCTAATGCCCGCGCCCATCACGAGATATATATATCGAGATGTATAGACGACGCAAAAAAAGAATACTCCTACATTAAAGTGCTCTTTCTGTTAGACACAATTGATAAAAGGGGTCTAAAGCGACACATGATGGGTAGAACTGAAGAAAAACTTTCCACGTGTAAAAGACAAAAATGATAAACACATCCACAAGTTGGCCGACCGAGTTGTCGTTCAAACAACCCTGCTTTGAACTTTGTGCGTAATGTGCGCAGAGGGTTTTTAACTTTATGCTGAAGAGCGGACATGACTCAACTATACTCTGAGTTTTCTTTCTTTTTACCTTACAATATTGCAGATACCGAAAGGATCTTCTCCTCAAAATGCATGTTATCATTACGTCGCTTTTACTTGCGTCACTCTCGTTCTTGATGCCGACAGAAGGCGCGAAAATATGTCAGAGGCCTCCGCCTTGGTCGGTCAAACAAGTGAACCCATTGGCAGAAGCGAGATCAAAAGGTCACGTGGTACTCCTAGGACTGATGCTCGCTAGCTGACGATTTTGTCAATGGCAGGCTCAGATGATGGAACGAATGTTCAAAGGAGTCGTTATGAAGAGGTAAGGCATCTTGCATTACATTTTTCTTAGTTCCTGCAAATATGCGAAAAATATTGAAGTTGGCGGGGAGGGGTGACTGGGAATGGCTTAGTCTTTCCAATGCAACGCAAAACCCAAGTAAATTATATTGGAAAACGTGCTCCCCAGACCCCAAAGAATCGTCCAACATCCCCGATTTTGTGGAAAGTGGCCAATCATAGGATTTTTTTTTTCTTTTGAGATCGGAATGACCCGGATCGAACTCAGATTTCGGGACCAAACCACGTGCAGCAACGAAGCACTAAATTTGTTATACTTTTCAAGGTGATAATTCTTATTAAAAAGTTTAAAACTGCCAAGAAACAATTTCTGTAGTGTTTATTCCTATTTACATAATACCTTGGCAAATAGATAATCTTTATTCGATTGGTTAGCACAACCTTGTCTGCAATCTCGTGATTACCTTTATATATCGTTGTATGTAATTAAGCTCATGATTATTCTAATAAAGCAGTTGTGTAGAGCACTTGCTCTGTGCATGCATTACGCTATAGTAGTATATATCGAACCCTGATACACAACAATTTCCAACGTAAATTGATTCTTTCTCTTTTCCTATCTCTGGACAGGAATTTAACGGATATTTCTTTCATGATTCTGAACATGAAGAGAGCTGCAAATTCCATCTCAGAGCTGCAAAGGAGAGTGTCGTTTCCAGTCTACCAGGAGCCAGCAGACCGAGACATCATGGGATTATTAGGAGGAAGTAAGGACGATTTTCTCATCTTCGATCGCTGCGGACTGTTGGCTTACCATCTTAAGTGGCCTCGCAACTATCTGTTGTTTCCGTTTGTCCGGTAAGTGGCCTGATACTTAATTTTTTGTCTTGTAGCTAAAGGTTTTTAGCGTTTTAATTTATTACTCCAGAAGCGATTGACGAGTAACTTCTCCTAACAAAATCAATTAATAAAAGAGCACAAGCAAATAATGAGGATAGAAACTTGTATGAGAGAAGGTGTGGCAGCTAAGAGGGATAGTGACGGAATACCTCTTTGAAGTGAAGAGATAAACACAGTGTATAAAGAAAGGAGGCTTTTGCTGTTTTACCCGGGTTACTTTCAGAATAAAGGGACGGAAACGTAAAATTTGCATTCGTCATCGGTTACCCCCCAAATTAAACGTAATAAAGATTTATTATCCAAAACTTCAGCAACCTCGTTCCTATGGTCCTCTCTCGTTTTATCTCGAGAAAGTAAAAATATCTGACAATTTACCCTCCCTTCGGCGTTCTTTGTTCTTCATGGGCACGTGACCAGCCACAAACAAGGTAATTTTATGGAGAGGGAAGAGTGAGGACGCTGGGAACTATATTGACGAAGGTGACAAGTTCGTGATGATATATGTTGTCCAGATACGACTATTTGTGATAGTTTATGGTGTTAGTGTACTGATACTGGGTTTCATAACTGACCTTTTTTACTTTTATCAATGCAGGAATGCGTTGATAAAGGAATATACCAACAAAGGTTCAAAATGTAAACGACACTGTCCGATTAAGACGACCACTACTGCAACCCAGTCCACCACAAACAGGATTATTACGGCACAAGAAATTCTACCCAGTTATAGCTCAGAGAGTGTCAAGTCACGGCCTCGATCTGATGCCACTACTACCTCTTCACCCCCAGCAACTAGAGACCTAACACTGATTCAGCAAGAGGAAACACTTTAAAGTGGACAACTGTTCTGGTTATCTGTTAGATCTGATAAGTTTGATTATAAAATAACCAAAGTAAAGCGCGCGCTCTGATTGGTCAATTTAGCGTTCCCCATTTGCCCATGGGTGTACACTGCTGACGTGAGCAAATGCAAAGACTATTTTTCCGCGCGCGCGTAAGATTTGTTAAATAAAAGGGAACTCTAGCTACAGTGTGTTAATGTTATGTTATAAGACAAATGGTAAACACCACAGCGTACACTATTGAGTTATGGATGCACTTGGGAGGTTTGCTAAGCACTCAAGAAGCTAGAGTCGCTCTCGGCTATCGCCTCGAGCGACTCTTACGCTTCTTTCGTGCTTAGCAACCTCCCGCGTGCATCCATAACTCGATAGTGTACGCTGTGGTGTTTACCATTTGTTAAATAGGATCTTTTTGTGCTTAGAGAAACTTGACAAAGGGAAGATTGAATTTTTTAATCCTTATGGCCAAGCTGGTCGTATCTAGCAAAAACCAAACAAAACTTTTGCAACGAAACGTTTTGTGTCCCCGCTCTTTTTCAAGATGAGTTTTTTTATTTGAGATCAATATAATCCTCTCTCGAAATTTTTAAAATATAATCTCTTTTATTTTCATAAGTTGTGAAACCGAAGCTTTTCAATCTCAAAACTTTGTTCAAACATGATAAACAGGTAAGAAAACAGAAACTTGCTTGTTTTGATGCAAACGTCAAGGTAACAGAAAGAGAAGTGACCAGGAATTATTTAAACTTTTTAGATATCTCATGTATCCTGTATGACAAAGTTGCATAAAACTTGTTCACGTGTAACTTTCGATGATTGGAGGATATGCTATTAAAAAGTTTTAAGACATTACAATTTTTAAATTTTTTTTTTTTTTTTGCAAGAAAGCGTTCGCTTTTTATAAACCTTTACATCTCTATCAACCATTTAACTCCCAAAAGTGATTAACACGTAACTTCTCCCTATAATATCCATATATTATCCACAAACAGGTAATGAGAACACTTAAACATATCAGTTTTAATTTGTTATCTTGGTCTAACACCAAATTCTCGTAATTAATTGAAAAGGAAATGTGTAGCAGCTAGAGGGGGAGAATTAACAATAAGATCTTAAGTTATCGGAATTAAGATTTCAGTTTAGAACTCTACTCTAAAATTCAGCTCCGAACTTAAACAAATCTTTGGTTAGATTCTAAATAAGTGATATTTTTCCTTTGCCTCGGTGAGGAAGTGTTTCAGTTTGGATTATGTCAGCAAGATAGGCTTCATTTTAGTCTAAACAAAAAAAAATGCCTCTTGATGGATGTGGTTCAACTTTTCACAGATAATTCACAAATGTTTTATTAGATGTGTGCAAATTACAAATGCCTAAAATGATTGGTTAGTGCACCCCTACTGATCACGGAGCTCTAAGCTTCAACTGAATCCAGCCTCGAATAGGAAATCCTCGTTTTTTAAACTCAGTAACGTTTCTATGTTCAATCTATACAACATATACTTCAACACGACCACAACACAGCGTGAAGCTCTTGGTGAACTCAGTGGGTGGCCTTGTGGGAACCATGCGGTGGTTTTTAATCCAAGGAAAAAAAAAACCTGTTTCTCAAAGGGAACAATCGCCGCTACTGTAAGAGCCTCTGTGATAGTCCAATTGCTCTGGAACCTGGTCCATCGTGGAAATTTGCAGTTTTAACAAAGAAGTCAGACTCTGGACAAAAGGTAAGCTAAGATGAAGAAGGGTCTTACATCGTTTCGCTTTTGAAAAACGCTTGTCTAGAGGTATAGGTGAATAATTATCTGGATTAAACTCCACCGTTTCTAATTTGTACGAGCTCGGCACTCAGCAAATCACATCTGTCTACAGTTAAAGGTTATGACGTCTGTGAATCTTCTTAACTGAGTTTTTATTGCAATGTAACAATTTCAAAGTGAAACCCTCAAGGGTTAGACAAAGGCTGTCCTAAATCTCAGTTTACTGTATCCAAGCAAAGTAATGAGAGGTAAATATTGACGGAGTTGGTGCCGTCTGGTCGAGGATAAAAGCAAGTTTTATCTCTTTTTATAATTTTTTCTTTCCTTTTTACAATTACAGGATAGCATTAAGTGATCGGTTTTATCGATCGATTTTTCGACTAAATTTTTTTTCTTATCAACTATCTTTCTAAAAATAATCTCGCATGGACTCTCAGTGGCAGGAGCACTTTGTTATGAAAATTGAATTTATGCTAATTATCGGGTTCAGGACTTCGCCGAGATGTGTTTTAAAACAAAACAAAAATCATGATATTTTTCAAAACCATTTTTTCATAATTTTGAAAGCTATTATTTGTTTGAAAAATTAGACTTACGGCTTTGAACTTCAGAAATATGCCTAAAAAACGTCCACCATGTTCAAAGACTTGAATATTATTGACCGACCAGGAAGTCTTGCTACTCGTTTGCCACCGCGTTTCAAATTTAAGACTCGCATATAGGGTATGTGAAGAATAAATTAACTGCAGATAGATAATGGCCTTTTTTCGTGACTAGCACTCTTTGTTTCAAAAGGCACTGCTTTGTTGTGGCTAACTCGTGGTTCATGTCAGCTAGCCTCCATTGATTGCTTCATTTATACGCCACAACAAACTGATTGAAAACGCCTTAGTTTTTTTTTTTTTAAATACATTCATTTTTCCGGGTTTTTTTTTTTTTTTTTTGCTAGCGCGGTTAGACAATAACGATAAACTTAATGAACATATAAAAGTGATATTCCAGAGGGCAAATTGAGATTCTTAACTTAAGGTCCAACTTGACTCCTAACATTGAACGAATAAGCTTCAGTGGAGAAGAGTTTCGTAAAAATCGTATAAAAGAGAAGCAAAATTTTTAACTAAGAATCACGAAACAAAATTGAAGTACGCATGTGAGAGGATGCATATGTCTGAATTAAATTATCCAAAAAAACATAGATCCTAACCATAGATGCAGGGTTTTAACGTCAATAAAAAGATTAATTAAAAGAAGAAAATCTTCATTGGGAGATAACATGCAAAGTTCTCAGTGACCTGTTCACTTTCTCCCTCCAGTTTTAGCAGTTAACGTTCTGGGTCAAAATATTGTTGGCTTACTAAGACCCGAAGCCATCAATGTAACATTTCTCTTTAAGTTTGTAAATCACCCCAAGTTCACCGTGGATTAAAACAAAATATCAGTCTTCGGGTTTTTCCGAGTGACCAGCTTGCTTTTAGGCTTTATGATTAACAAGGAGTCAAGAGCAATTGGTCAGAAACCTTACGTGGTCTTTATATCTTCGAATATTTTGTTTTCAAGAACAGTGAGGAGGAGTGATTTTTCTTTTAAGGATCCACTAGTGCCAATTCTTTAGGACTTGATTACTTCTACTCCCACGTGGCGTGCAAGCCACAACAAATTAAATCTTTGAGCTGAAAAGCATTATAAATAGAGGATCTGAAAAAGCATCCTGCAGATTATTGACAAAGTGAAAAGAAAAAACCAGACAACAAGCAGAAATAAATATTCATGGTTTACCATATGGATCCATATAATAAAGACAAAAGTTTTGTTTGTTTGTTTACAAACTACCAACCAATATTTAATTGGAATAAGCTCTTTTTCGTTATCAGCTGATATCTAACTCGCACCAACGTATTTACATTCATTTCTGTTATTGTCGGTTGAATAGCAATAGAGGAAATAACCTTCACATCAGTGCCAATCCCTCCAAGAGCTTATTGAGATGTGAGAGGCCTTCAGAAAAAAATAAACAATATGTATTAAGATTACCACAAAAACACGCTTAAAACAAGCTCAGTCGCACGATTTCGTGATGCTGGAAAAACGTCAGTTTTTGTCTGGTTTAACAGAATAGGGGACCTGCTCTTTTAGTTTCGCCTGTAAAAAAAAAATGCATTTTGGAACACTTTGACCTCAATATAAAGCGTTCACGTCGAGCAGTTATAAATGGTAAGAATATTTACTGCTTGTAATCGATTTATAACGACAAGCAGATGTTTAATTTTTCAGGCTTTTTAGCTGGGTCATCTATAGTATTTGGCGAGTAAACAGCCAAAGAACGAGTCAAAAATTGCTGAAGAAAATTAGATAAAAACGGGATTAATATCGTTTGCTGGCGAGATCAGCCGGAACGTAGTGTTTGCGCGCATTTTGCGTCTTTTTATATTGCACGATAAGTCTACCAGTAAGCTAGATTTTTAGTTAATTTATGTGAATTGAACAAGCGTTAGAATTAAGTCTGACTTTATACTAATACAGCTTTTGAGAGCATAATTTTAAATCATATCAAACAAAACAACATTTAAGGTTTTCTGCTTTAAAAAATGGTTAGCGCAAGCCGATTGATGTACTAAGGATTTCTGTCAGTTATTGTTTTATATTTCGATCATAATAAGAGTCATGTTTACTCTTATCAAGCTATTTGGGAAATTTTCATGGAGAGTCGTTTCCTACAACTTATAACGTGCATAAAAGGCTAGTGTTGCTTTTTCGCTTTTTGTTGATATTTATTGTCTTGTATGTTAGTTAGCAACTTTGATGACAGGCCATGATGGTTCGACCAGAAGTTCAGCTGTCATAGGTTAATTCTGATTTCTACAACCTCACTAACAATAAAAAAAATTGAGGAAATTTCTCCTTTCAATTTGAGTACATTTTCAAGTAAAAAGGTGATTAGAAGAAAGGAAACCGGTAAAAATTCGGGGATATCGTTTGAATGGACACCAAATTCTCAAGCGAAAATTATGAACAATGAATGGGGTACGGTGCAGAGAGTTCATGTTTTGATCTGTGGAGTGAAAGGGTTAAGTGTAAAACTATTGAGAGGGATTTTTAGAGGAACTAAAAAGAACCAAATAAGTGAAAACAAACTTAAATTAAATAGAAGTCAACGCTTCTAGCATGCATCAGAAAAACAACTTTTTGGAGAAAGCTTTTTAATCAGACAGTCGATAATCGCTAAAAGAAAGATTCTTGCAGAGTATCTCTTGAAAAAGTCGTAAGTTTATCTAAACGACACAGTTCATTTTTATAAAAGCAAAGCATCTTAATTTCCAAATTTATCTCTCGAGATAATTTGGGATTATCTTCCTTTCCTTTCCGAATTCCTTTTGGATGCAAATTTGTTCATTGCGATAGGTTTAAAGCCATGACAGTTTCACTTATGACCTTTTAATATTCAAAACCATGATACTTACGGTTAATGAAAAGTCATTTTTAATCATTATATTTTGCGCCTTTGTAGCTTCATCCAACGTTTTGATGAATAAAAATTTTAATTAAAGGTGCTGGTAACCACACAAAGTAGTTGAAAGGGGCGATTTCAAAACGAAGGCGAGGAAATTGTTCAGTCTTCTTTTAAAGTGTAATCAAACTGGAATATGGAATTAAGTCGGTTATTTACTGCCTACGCTTGCTGGGATGATATCGATGTACCCGCACTTTGTCGAATTGAGAATCACGCGCCATTCGTTCTGAGGGTGACATATGTTCATATCTGAAGGTGAATCATCAAAATGATCATTCTGCCATTTTACGTAGTAGTCGTATACAACTTTTCTTATCCGTTATTTTGTTTTGGTAAATCGGAGTGTGCCTCGGAGAAGTAGCAAATGAGAGAGGAAGATAGCGAAAGAGACATTTGTAATCGTCAACATCTTTCGTCTTTTCTTTTTACATTTTTTGGCATGATGAAAATATTTCTGCAACTTTGAACTTTAACTGAATACTTTAACTGGAATTTAAAGGTTGAAGGTTAATCCCAAGTTAGTTCTGTTAATTCAGTAAAAAGTGCAGTCAATTCATTGTCACTGACAAATTTCTTATCGTAGCAGTGATGCTGTGGAACCTGATTAACCAGTGACAAGTATTTGAAAATTTAGGCATGTAAACCGCAAGCCTGTTTTCCTACGCTATCTCTTTCTTTATGTGTCTCTTACAGTAGTCTTACAGCAGACTTTACAAGTAAATGAATAAGGCGTACCGATTAGGGCACCACAAATTTATTCTGAATTATCTTAACTATTCAGCGCCACCCTATCTAAATAAAGTGCATCCTGTTTGATCTCTAAACATAAAGAAAAGCCGGAAAAAAAATCGCGCGCTATCGAGAGGCCGCCTTTGGAAAATCCTATTAATAGGAAAGATATCAAGCGTTGGACAGATTCCAACATTATTTTTGGATACCCCGTCAGGCAGCAGATATTGCATGTTCATAGCCTTACAATGGCCATAATGATTGACGTCAGTTCACCTTAAGTTTTAATATTAAAAGTAAATCAAGAAAGACAAATGCTTCTTTCATGCTAAGAGAGATTACTGTTTGATAAAATCCCTTGGACGTGGCAAACGGAAATAATTATTGGCAAAAAGTCATTACCAAGAGTTATAACCGCCTAAGCATTTCATATAGTATAGCCTCAGGAGATGCTAGAAGTCATTTAAATGGTCGGATCAAGAGAATCTCACTCAGTGAGTTGCGGACTCTTGAAGGCCTCTGTAACCACCAGGAAACCTTTTGTCATAAAACAGAAACGGAAAGTACTTCGTGTATCGTAGATATAGGAAAAAGTGGAAAACAAAGTAAAATCACTAGTGGCACCTACAGTGAAATAACAAATGAAAATACATTTTCATCGCCACCTGCTGAGAAAACAACGCTATACAGAGGGCTGTTTTCACATTTTGAACAATTTCTGCCCCATCACGTACAGCTTATAGAGAAGCACGTGAGGTAATTCAACTCGTGAACCTGCTTCATGACCACAGCGGAGTGTTTTTTACATCAGCCACTGAATATCTTTCACTCAAACATGTGATCTTCAAAACAAGACAAATCTTCAAAAGATCTCGTGAGTAAATGCTGTTGTGATCGGTTGTGTTCTTGGGAAAGGTTCTTTGTTCTCACAGTGCACCTGTCCACCCAAAGGACAGCCCTGCGGAAAAAAAATCGATACCCCTCAGTACTCAGTGAGTAGGGGATATGATATTCTTAGGCACGGTTTTTCAAGAGAACCTCTGACAAAAACAATATATTGCTAATACTGCAAGGAAACGCTCTAAATCTAATAGTAGTTAAGTCGCGTTTCATTTAGAGCAGTTTTCAACTGAGGGTCGAAAAAACAAAACCAAGGTAATCACAACTACCAATCGGAACAAACCTTAACCCTTTACACTCTGACATCAGTATGCATATTCTCCAAACTGTCCTCTATACTTTCCTAAGGTGCTGACAAGGAGAATTTGTTGAACAATCAAGAGCTTTTTTAGTCGATGATCATTACCTTTACTCTCCTGACCTTAATGTTTGATTCAGGGGTGATATTGTAAAGAGAAATTAGATGCAAGTCATTCTTAGAGGTTAAAGGGTTATTATTACACGACTCGGGAAGTCAGAGGGCCAATAACTAAAATTAACCAATCAAAATGCTCTATTGCCGGTCAATATTCTCTCAGTATTGGACCGGGCACTGTCCCGAATGGTCCCGAATGATACCGCACTTATGTACCTTTGAACTTCAGTCTTGTAATAAATCTCTTATTAACCAAGCTTTCTCGGGACCGTACTGGTAGAATATCGGCCCAGGGTCTTAAAAGTACGCACCGAGCGCAGTGAGGTCAGTACAAAAAAGACCGAGGGCCGATATTCTTCCAGTACGGTCCCGAGCAAGCTTGGTTAATAAGAGATTTATTACGTATGATGCACAATCCTCGCAGTAGATAACGCTATTTAAGCAATAGCGAAAATCAGACCTGAAAAAAAATTAGGCCTGTACGGGACTCGAACCACTGACCTCTGCGATAATAGTGCAGCGCTCTACCAATTGAGCTAACCAGCCAACTGGGAGCAGGCCGTTAAGTTGATTCGTAATAAACCCGTGAAAGTGATAAACCAGATACAATGAAAAATATATGAAGTTCATATATTTTTTTTTTTTTCAGGTCTGATTTTCGCTATTGCTTAAACAGCGTTATCTACTGCGAGGATCGTGCATTATACGTATCTAATACCGCAGTTCAAAATATATGAACTTCATATATTTTTCATTGTATCAAGAGATTTATTATACGACTGAAGTTCAAAGGGACGCAAGTACAGTATCATTCGGGACCATTCGGGACAGTGCCCGGTCCAATACTTAGAAAATATTGGACCGGCAATAGAGCACTTTGATTGGTTGATTTTAGTTATTGGCCCTCTGACTGCCCGAGTCGTGTAATAAATATATTGTGACTGACCAATGACAACTCAAAGTAAAAACGGGCAGCCTGCTTGAAGCGCGGGAAAGACGGGCAGCCTGCTTGAAGCGCGGGAAAAACGGGCAGCCTGCTTGAAGCGCGGGAAAAACGGGCAGCCTGCTTGAAGCGCGGGAAAAACAGGCAGCCTGCTGAAAGCGCGGGAAAACACGGGTGACCAAGTCATGATTGGTTTTAGTTTTGCATCTGATTGGCTGAGAGGATGGCACGAGTTTTCTAGACTAATCACGGTGCGAAGTAAAGCAAAACCAAAGCAATCCAGGATTTCTTTCACACTCAGTGGAGAGTTGCTCTAGTACAGCTTTGTTCATTATTATAATAATATGAAAGGAATCATGCATTGAACAGTTTCAAACCCTATTTTTGGACACCCCGTCAGGCAGCGGATATTGCGTGATCATAGCTTTAAAATGGCCATACTAATTGACGTCAGTTCACCATAAGTTCATATGTCAAAAAATTGTTTATCCTGACATTGTCTAATTGTGTTTCAGGATAGGTTTTGACTTTGAATAAGCATCCAGGCTTATTATAAAATTTATTCCAAACAGAATGTAAATACTGACACCAAACTGAAACTAAGACAACACCGAGTGTTTCAGTTATTTTCATAATCTCTTTTTGCTCATATTTTTTTTCTTGATTTTCAAGGAAATTAAAACTCTTCTGAACAAGAATGTCCGACTTCAAAAACAAGAGTAAAGATATGGACCCTGAAGAAGCCTTCAGTACGCCTATTTATTACGTCATTGCAGCAGTTTATGCCGTTTTAACTGTGACAGCATTCAGTCTGAACACACTTGTCATTTGGGCATTTGTCAAAGACCGCACACTGCGCACGCGCTCTAACAGATTGATTCTTAGTATAGCCGTTGGTGATTGGCTACACGCAGTATTGGCATATCCCTTTGGAGTTGTAAGAAATGCATCACAAAGTTGGCGCATGAGCGGTGGAGCCTGTACGTGGTATGCCTTTGTTACGTCTTTCCTTTCGTTTGGCATAATGCTGCACTATGCTACATTTTCCATCGAGCGTGCGATCACTATAAACTTCTCAGTAGCCTTGTTTTTTATGGAGAGAAAGCTTGATCTCGTCATTGGCGGACTTTGGCTGTTTGCCTTTCTTTGGAGTTTATTTCCACTGTTCGGTTGGTCAGCGTACGCTCCTGAAGGCGCAGGCGTGTGTTGCTCAATTCGCTGGCAATCTTCTAATCCACTAGATATTACATTTGTGGCTTGTATTTTCTTATTCTTCTTTTTTGGACCAATCGTTACCATGGCTATTGCGTACTATTCGATTTACAGCAACATGAGGAAAATAACTCTAAATGCGCATGGATTGTGGGGAGAGAACGCTGCACCCACAAAGGAAGCCATCCAAGCCGAGAGTAAAATCGCGCGCATGGCATTTGTAATGTCGATCTCTTTCTTATTTGCATGGACGCCTTACGCTGTATTATCTCTGTATGCTATTATAAACAAACCCGAGGACATCACACCACTGGTAGCCACGCTTCCCTCCTTATTTGCCAAAACAGCAGCTTGCTATAATCCAGTCATTTACTTTTTGTCCTACAAGAAATTCAGGGAGAGCCTGGGGCAGACGCTGAGACGCGAACGAAAGGCCAGTGCTGAAAGTAGAATATGACAACAGAAATTTACCAAGTTTGCATTGTACAATACTATTAGTATGCATTTTATCGATACTGTTCTCTGAACATTTCCTATGATACTGAAAAGGAGAATTCGTCAAATAATAATAAGCTTCTTAAGTTTATGATCATTTCCTTTATTCTCACGACCTTAGAGTTTGATTCTGGTCTGATACTGTGAGGAGAAATTAGATGTAAATCACTCTTTGGGTTGAAAAGTTTCCATGATCGAGAGTAAAGGCGTCTGTTGTTTATACTAGTAGACTGTAAGCACCCAGGAAAAATTGTAGCATCAGCCATTGTTTAAAGCCTAGCACTCTACAAAATTCTCCCGACGTTTCCCTCAGCTCACCCTTCCCCTCTAGAGTCCTCTCCCGGCTTTGCAAGAATTTCCATAAAAGGAATAACACTGATTTCATGTATGGCTTAGTATTTTTCATACTGCTGAGATCTCTATACGTATAAATTACTAATCACGTAGGGACATGTAATTAGTGACTTTTCCTCTCACTGTCCATACAGCATTCAACAGTAAGGTGAGGAGAGTCGACTATACCATGTCATCACCCTTGGAGTATTTTCTTTGTAAAACAATAAAGTATCTTTGTGAACTGATACGCTGGGAAATCAGAAGCAGCTTGAGGGGAGGGTTATGGATTATGTCTTGCAAGTAAACGGTATACATAAAATACGCGCATGTCGTATGCGTTACCAAGTAACCCTTTCACTTCCCGGCAAGATCTCGCTGAAGAATTCCCCTTACTTTCTGCCATACAATTTTCATGTTTTTCGATCGGATAATTTGATATTGGATCAAGTAATAAAGCGCTTCTCGATATATTTCTTTTCCCTTGTCACTTGATAATGTATTGATATTGGAGAGAGAAGTTCTGCATTGGTCACACATGGGAGTTAAAAGCTTAAGAAATTAGACTGACGAAAATCTGCTTGAGGACTAAGCGTTGGGGTGTAATTATAGAGGAGTCATGGATTGGTGACTTAAGCTCCATTTCGTGACCGGACCATGCGAGTCCACGCGAGTCATCATCGCTACGAGCGGAAGCAGCGCGGCGAGCGCGCGAAGTATCGCGATAGGCGTGATTTCAATCGTTATCCCGAGTTTGGGGTGTGGGGTCTGAAAAGTGAGAGAACTTATGTATTTACCCACCCTGAGTCTCCATGTATTACTTACATACTTATGAGGTATATCTTCATTCCCCTTCGTATACCCACATTTACATTCATTTGCCTTCATAAGTATTCATCTGTGCGTATACACATGAGAACTCTGCCTTATCGAGTCAAGTCTCGTGCGTGCCGGGAGAATGTCACGCTCTGACCCCCTGTAGGGATAATTCCTTCATTGGACTCACCCCCAGGTGATTTTTCCTACTGGCTTGTCACGCACAGGTTATGTCTCTTTGTAACCAGATCATGCAGAAATAACCGTACACTTGCTGAGAGGGCGGAGACATCGCTAGCCTGAGGATTAGTCGTCGTATTGCCCAGGACGATACAGCTGCGACGATAGCCGTAAGTACAAACTCTACATATCATTCTTAGACTGATTACCCCTTTTCTGACCAAATTCTCTTTTATTAGCTTATTGGGCTTGACAGCTCTGTTTCTTGGTATTAAACTGGAAAGGTACTGTGGACTCAATCAATTTATTAGGACAGGGTTGTTGAGCATTCCCAAGGTCATCAAGCCCAACAAAACAACCGTCTTCTTTATCTTCCTCTTGTTAAGTAAGCCGAACGGAACTTTCTCAACCAAGCGCAGCGAAATCGTGTGTACAATTAGACACAATCAGATTGGGATGCGCAAGGATATACCAAGATTTTAGTATTCGCTGTATCTCTTCCATTTCGCGGTGGCGATGTTTCGTTTCACAACAGGCCTGGGGAAAAAACCTTCTCCACAACTACTTGGCGTTGTATACTGAAAAATTCTAGTGAGTTAGATGAATACGGCGAAGGTCTTTGGTCACAAAATTTCGATGTAGAAGTAGTGCAAGTCAACTTTTTCCTTTCATAGATTATGTTACATGGTTGAGTACATATTCCATGTCAGGAATGCAAACAACATGCCAAACAAAATGTAATGATGCAAAAGCTGGTCAAGCAATATCAAATGGACAATCTCTGTGAAGCGGCCAGCTGCCTCGTTTTATTCCCGGAAGTAAGCTGAACAAGGAGAGCCTTAACTTAGGCCCGGTTTTAAAAAGAAAAATCGGTGGCTCTCTTTCAAATTACATTATGACACTCGATCCCAAGGCACTTGATGTAACTTAAACCTTTTCTGCTCTCACAGCCTGACGTGTAATTCCGCTCTCGTCTTACGTCAAAAAATCTGTTAGAATTTTAACACGCGAACTGAAATAAGGCTTAAAACACCCCAAAACATCATTTGGTGGTTTGTGGACCATTCTCTTTGCTTCCGTCGTTTGAACTCGTCACACGACCTCTTTCGCAATAAGTGACGACTCCAGAACTTGCGTGCGCCTAGGGAAAGGGGAGACTTCCAGAAAACAACTTTCCGATGTTTATTTCTCAATTTGCCACGAGCGAGCAGGCTATTTTTAGGCTTGGAAAGATTTGAAGAGGCTTTAATCTTGAGATTTTTAGCCTTGCTCCCGGTCATATCCAGTTACGATTAATCTGTCGATTGTTGAATCGCTCGTGCTAATCCAATGATAGCTGTGATTGGTCACTCCAGCATCACACGCCTGTGGTCACGCATGCTTCTAAGCATGGGAGGGCATTACCACCAACTTGCAGTCAGATCTTCCACGAGTCTATCATTTGTCATAGTAATGTACTTGTGTGGCAGTATGTGAACAATAGCTTAAAATGCGGGAGGGGGAGGCGGCGGATTTGAACTCGATCATTAGGGAGATCCTTCCAGCCTCTGATGGCCGCATGAAGCAGCTGATGGCCGCATGAAGGAAATTTCGTCCCTCAAGCTACGTTATTTCTATGGGGTATAAGCATTCATTTTGACATGCTGTGATGTATCATTGTTAAACATTTCCTTCTTTAAAGATTGCAGAAATCGAAACATGGCGAAGGGGATGTTGACATTGCTCTTCGTCACTCTTCTTGCTTGCGTGTCGCTGTCGGATTCTCTTTGACGGTGACGATGACAGCGGCCATCCATGGGTCCAGTGCCCGACGCTCGAGCGCAAGGATCCGTGGTGGTCCTGGGGGTGATAAACTCCGCTTGACGTCAGAGAGTCTGTTGACAGGCTGAGTGTCGCGTCAAGGCCGTTGCGAAAATGGACGAGATGCGTGAGGTCGCCGAGGGGAGGTAAGGCATTGGTGACGAGTGAAACCGAAATTCATCAGTCATTTTTTCGTCACTGCAATTGTTCGGGCCCCGGTTGATCGAACGTCAGATAACGCTATCCACTAGATAAATCCCTATCCGGTGGATAACGCTATACGTTTTGCAATTCCTTATCCGCCGGATAGCGTTATAACTATACAGCTAGGCCCAGGTCTCTACAGGGATGAGGGCGCTCTGGTTAGACGAAGAGGACGTCACTTCTTGCCCTATCACTCTACGTTGAGTTACTATAGTCTATGATATTAAAACAATTATTTCAAAATGGATAATTTAGTTTATCAACTGAACTGATGATGTAAATTGGAGAACGTAGAGAGTTTCTAAACCTGATGTTTCTAACGTTAGCCTTTCGTTGGGACAAATGTCTACCGAGCAAATTTTTTTTTTTTTTTCACAGAAGAAGGTAAAAGTCAATCGGTTACCAGGACAATTATATAATTCCAGTATACTATTGTAAGGCCCTCTTGCTAGAAAATTCAGACTACTTCCCTAAATAAAAACGGGTTGTCGTAAGTAAAATAAAAGCAGCAATTGCTCTCCCCACGAAGCATCAAGTTCAAACTTTTGAGTGAATTAGCGGCCTCTCCTGATATTCTAACGCATATTGTTCGCATCTGCAGCAAGATGGCTGACATTGTTTTCATGACGGTGGTTGGCCAGAATGTTTTCTCTCAATCTTGGAATCAAACTGATGACATGTTCGAGGAGCCTACTCCGGGACTGTTGTCTACAGAATATGGCTTGAACAAGACTGGGATATTTGTTTATAATCGTTGCGGAAGTCTTGAGGGGGAACTCCAGTTATTCCCATTAGTTCCCTTAAATCCCTCGGACATCCGTCACGAATGGTGAGTCAAACTACTAAGATCTGATTAGTAATCCTCCCTTGTAGCTGCCGCATATTTGCGTGTATATTAGAAAGGAGAATTTATTGTTTAATGCGGCAAGATAACTCGGGAGGAAAGTTTCCCTTTTCTCGTCACCTGTTTGCTTGATTGTGTATGCATATTGTAAGGAGAAATTACAAGTCAATCACTTCTGAAACTGCTAGATTTTGTCAGGAATCAGTGGAAGTCTGATTTTACTGATAGTTTGGTAACAATGTTAGCCAACCATTTCTTTGTAACTTGCGTATTAGGTAAACCCGTGTAGAAGATTTTAGAAGCTCGTTTAACCAGTCTACCTCTTTTGCACATTTGCAGGAAAGTCATTGAAAATGCATACAGAAAATGTCCACAGTGTAACAAACCAGCCCCAAAAACTCGATCTCAAGCAAAGTCGGTCACTCCATAGTCAGCTGCCAAGATGCTCGGCCCCTAATTCAGGACTAAAACTGATGTGATTCAACTAGTATAGTTTCTTTTTTCATTGTTATTTGCTGTAGCAGTTAAAAAAGAAAAAAAAATGTAGAATAGTATCACCGTTCCAATGCATTACAGTTGGTGCCGAATTCTAGGATGGAGGATAAGTCTTAAGTTTCAGCCTTTTGAAGATAGGAAGATTTATGAAGAACAAACGGGAAAGAGTTTTAACCGTTTGTTTTGATGGTAGTCATCAGTTTTCGGCTGAAATCAAAGAAAAAGAACATTTCATTGCGAGTTCACAGACTGGTTTTTATGACAAACTTGCAGTAAAGCTATTTTGTGAGTTTTTGAATTTGTTACCAGTCCCCTCGCACATGAACAGAATGCGTATTCAGGAAGTCGTTTTGTGCCACGTTGTATTGTTGGGAAAGAGGAAATAAAAGAGCTCAATCCTTATAGACTGCAATGGTTTTGATCTGATTCATTCTGTGATATGTCAACAAGATTTGTGTCATCTCCTCAACTAATTATGCTCAGATACCAAACTAAAACGATCGGGACTTCGTCCCTCGCGTTTTACCCCGTTTCAGACACGCTTCTTTTTACCTCGAGTTCCAATTGGCTCTGTGTGATATTTTCGTTGATTCCGATTGGTCGCTGAGATAAGTTCTAGTTTGACGAGACTATGAAAAACCGCTCAAATCGAAATGCACGTTTGGCTCACGAGAGTGCAGAATTATCCGCGCACCATAGTCCACCATACAAACTCTAAGAAGCTACTCATTTGATGTTAGACTGAACAAGTTAATAGCGCGTGCTAAACAATGAAAATTGACCGACAGATTAGGAGACACTTTGAAAGCCAATCAGATGGCTGGCATATGGATTTTCACTCTTGGGGCCGAAAAATGATCCAAGTGCAGCGAAACGCGTACATATCGACGATTACTCCAACATAATAAATTCCGAGAGTCTAGGAATGCTGCTAGTCCGCTAAATTGCTAGTTAGGCCCATTGCTGTAAATAAGCTGAAAAATATCTCCATTATTCCCGATTCGTTACACGGGGATTTTTCACATCAGAACCTGCTACGGCTCCAATCCCTACAGCATACTATCAACCCTTTGACCCTGAAGAGTTACCATCTAATTTCTCTTTACATTATCACCGCTGAATCACACAGTAAGGTCAGGAGAATATAGGAAATGATCAGCAAATAAAGAAGCTCTTGACTGTTAAATTCTCCTCGTCAGGACCTCAGGAAATGTAAAGAGAAAAGTATGGAGAGTACGCATACTGATATTCAGGGTTAAAGGAACTGTGGAGCCTTTCACGGTGTTCTAATTAAGCGCAATTGCTGCATCTAGAACACGCCCAAGTACCATGAAGATGAACCGGAGCTGAGCGCAAAACAACTTATGCAAATGTTTACAACAAAAAGTTTACTACAAGTGGAGGTATAGAAAGCTTTGCGTTTGTTTGTGTCTCAAACCAAACTTAGTCAGGTGGCTTCATATGCAAGATTTACATTACGTGACGCAAATGTTTCGAGAAAAATTATCCAAATTGCAATGAGCATTAACAAACCGTTGCATAAGGCAATAGGGTATATTCACCGAGAGATGCATATGAAAATTCTACAAGCAGTCGCCATAAAGAACTAGCGTCGATGGTGACAGAATTTCTCCCAACTGGTATTAGAACAACGTGGGTTGGTTGGTGAGGAGAATTTAGTTTAGATGACAATTGTTAACAAGCACAAACTCCTCCAATACGTCCACAGCATCGATGGGGTTCCTTCAAACCACGGCACAAGCACTTATCCGTTCGAACGTGTTTTGAACAAGATCCTCGACATCCTCGATTGTCGGGCGGACGGTTGACCCACGAGGAAACCAAGTTTATGACAAAGTCAACTTTCTCTTCGAAGCATGACAGCTTCTGTTCCAAGCTTGAGAAGCATTCCCGGACCTCTCCTCGTAAGTCTTGTAATTTACTGTCAAGGTCTTTAATTTCTTGCTCTTGTCTGTCTAAAGCTTCGTGCAGTTGCTGAATGTAATCATCGCGCCGATCATGTGTTCGACTTCTTGGTCCTGGCAAATTATCATAACGTTCTCGGAAAACTAAAGATTCTATTGAATCATCGCGACCTCTTCGTAATCTATCGTTATCTGTTCGTATGGCTTCGGCACTTCTCGCACGAAAGAGTTCTTCCTCAGAACTGTGATTATCATAGTCGTCGTGATAGTCCTTGTACATGGGTCGTTTTTTCTAAACGTTTCACTCGAACAAAAACTTTCAACAGAAAAACAACAAAGAAGTCGAACGGAACAATTCAATTCTAGAGAGGTAATTCGAAAACATCATTATGACGAAATTCCTAATGTCTTCAATTATCCGGGAAATAAAATTTTCATGACGTCATGAACCATCGCTTCACTAATGATTCATTCTAATGCTCATAAATTGGGAGCAATTCCCTAAAAGAATTCTGAGACGTTTTCACTTTCTCCGAAACGTGACTGAACCGCGCAACTTCGCTGTCCACACGCGGCTGCAGGTTACTGCTTTCTTAAATTTATCTGGGCGAAGCAGCGCCCGCGATCAATCCGCGGTCACTATCATAACGTAGATTTATTCTTTTAAAAAGTAAATCTGATCACGATTCTGTTGGCTATAAATCGTGAATATGACCATTCATTTTGTTGTATTGGGGCCCAATATTTGCGAATCAATGTCGCAAATTCGTTTTAAACTCGTTCATAAATTAATTCTCTCTCTCTCTCTCTCTCTCTCAAAACCTTCCTTAAACTGCATGTGTTTGGTCAGCGATTGTTTTGAACAGGCGAATTAGTAGATAAGGTTGTAAGATGCAACCTCCCCACCCTCACTATATTGTGATCTACTGTGTCGGGCGAGGGAATGGGAGTGGGATCTACTGTGTCGGGCGAAGGAATGGGAGTGGGATCTACTGTGTCGGGCGAAGGAATGGGAGTGGGAGGAGAGAGAGAGAGAGAGAGAGAGAGCTAAGTCGTGTCATTCAAGGAAAACAGAACGACAGGCGGACAGATCTCAGCTTTTAGAGCACAATCAGTTGCGCTGGTGATCACAACAAATCTGCTATTTCTTCTTTTTCTTCCTTGTGAGTCCATACGAAGCCAGTCGCGCAGCTGATAATTTACTTAGTTTGTCTTGCTTTGCGCCTTTAAATTGTCTGCGCAGCCGTTTTTTGACCGCAAGTTCTTTCAACTCTTCAAAGGTCATCCTCCGTCCCTTCGGATTTCTCATCTTTTGTTTTTTCGTCATTTTTGATTCCCCTTCATTCCTTCCATTGCTTTCACCCTGTGTAGCCTGTGAAATCTCCTCTCCTGGTAAGTCTTTGCTTTCCTTCTCACTGGTATTTTCTATTTTATCAGAGGAGTTTTTCGTTCTCTTTCTGATCTCAGTTTGTTCATTTTGTGCTCCTTTAGTATCAACACTGTGTTTCAGCGTTTTTCTCTTTTTAGGCAAACTTTGGTCAAGTGACTTTTTCTTTTTGTCGTTAACTTCGTTGGAGCTGAAATATAAGAAAAATAATTAACAGCCATAATAATTAAAAAAAAAAAACCAGATTAATAAACTCACCACATCTACTAATAATATAGGTGTTGAAATGAAAGCAGATATCATGGAACAAATGCAACATACATCTGTACAGCCCTTATTCACAGCTAAATGAAAACAAAATATTTGACCATTTTGCTTGTTATAGAACGGACCCCTTTTGCGACACTGTCACCACAACCGCAGTCTAAATCTCCATGTACACCACACCTTTCTGTCTCGGCCAGTGAAATAAGAATCCTTTTCTTCTTTTGCAGATCTCTCCCTCGCTTGCGAAACTTTTTAACTTCGTGGTACTCTTCATTTTCAGGTCTGTGGCATAAACAATCAAAGAGTATTTTATTTCACCTAGAGATGACTTTTTCGAAACCATACTGTTCGGAGTAGGATAAGATAGATGATACATTCTGAAAACTTAAAACGTAATGGAGTTTTAAAATTTGCTATTTTGTTTCCTTTATTTGAATTTTCGGAGATACTTGCAACGGGTTATCTAAGCCGCAGAAGTGGGAAAAAAAACGTAACTCGCTTTGCTGTCTTGTAATTATCACGAATGCAAGAGAATACAGATGTTTTACCTGTATTGAGACATCTTTTTTACCGAGACCCACTGGTTTAGCTCTCTGTCCGGGCAGGATAAAATCTAAAGAGAGGGAAATGAAGATTATCCTTGTTAAACGAAAGCAACATAGAGCATTCAAGATAACTGTACAATCTGCTTATAAGTTATTTCAGCTCTCAAATGGTGAAAGTTGAAGCAGCAAAGGAGGAAGAATTAAGGAGAGGAAGAGAAGAGAGGTCTTTTCAAAAACTTTAAGTTCCGGGGAAGGGGTGGGGGGTTATTAGAGGGAGCAGCTTAATGCGGAGGGGGGGGGGTATTTATTAGAGCGTTGGCATGACTTGTTTACTTGTGTTTTCCCGCGCTTCAACCACCTCGTTTTTACATGAGTTTTCATTGGCTCCTTTAAAATTTTCTTCGTTTTGATTGGCTACTGTGATTACTTTAGTCTTTGTCAATCGCAATGCGTCTTAATTTTGAGATAACCAAAACTCGCTCCAACCTCTTCTGTTGTGAGACCGAAGTCATTGGGAACAACCTGTCGGTACTGAAATCGACATGGCATATCTCCTATAATATCTTCGTAATCCAGTTTGTAATATTCGTCGAAATATTCTTCAAATGTTTTCTCGTCTTTGAAAAAAACACACAAAGCAATGGTTAGTTAAAGATATACAGAAACCGAACGGATACTAACTTTTTTTGCATATCAACTCTTAAACTTGCAGAAGTACTGAGCCAATAACTTCTTCTAACAATTTGAGTATACACTGTATTATTCAGCAAACAGAAAATGAGAATAAACAAACTCATAAATTAGAGGCAATTATCTTAATACTAAACAAATTCCTTTACTTACTTAACCCTTTACCCTCTAACATCAATGAATCGCTCAGGTAAACTAGATTGATATCAGTGTATTATGACTACCAGCTTTCAAAAATCGGATTGATCGTTGACAGAGCTATTAGCTTAAACAGATCTTGATACTGAAAGTATAACTTATTCAACAGTGCAACCGTTATTCTCTACAGATGAACAAACCTGGATTAAATACAGGTTTTTTCTGTGCCACAACACGACCAAATCTTGATCTTCCCTTTCTTTTCCTTTCACTGAATTCATTTAGATCATTTCCATTTTCTTGGTAATCAGCATCCATCTACAAAAGAAAAATTCTGGAAAATGAATAACATCATAAATGAACTGTTCATAGTGAGTTAGGTTAGATAGGAAACTAGATCAATGCTCAAGTGTACAAAAGATGTCAAGAAAACCACCCCATTTACATGCAACATCATTTGAACACAAAATGGTGATAATATTGTGACTGAGTCACTATGGCATCCAATGCAGCTCTATGTTTGCTAACAAAATACCTTTCAGGAAATTCACTAATCAACAAGAGCACAACTTACATTGAAGTTTGGATCTTCACTGTGAGGTTCTGAAATTGTTAAAAGAATGTTGCAATTAATTAATCAACCATATGAGTCTGCTTCAATTTTGTAAAGTGGCCAAGGCCCTCCTCCACTGCAAAATGTTTTCATCATTGATGAAAAGTTTGACACTGAATAACAGAAGACAAGTCAAGGTATCAACTGTTTATATTTACCAAACATTCCATCCTCTTGCTGTTCATCATCCACATTTTCATCATAATTCCCTTCCCATTCATCCCAGTTTTCTGCCACAGAGAAAAAATGACTTCACATGTGCCTTCTTTAAAATAGGAAAAAAGCTAAGTTCCCTAACTGTTACACAAGACCTCTGCTACATTTGATTTTAATCAGTTCACATATGTATGAACAAGACTTATCAACTTCATTGCTCACCTTAAATTTACCCTTTGACTCCCAGAACTGATTAACATATAACATCTACCCATAACATCTAGACATTATCCTGCAAACAGGGTTCGTACACTTTTTCAGGCCAAAGATTCAAGGACTTCTCAAGGACTTTCCAGGACCCTACTTAGAAATTTCAAGGACTTTTTGTAATGACAATTTTACCTCAAAACCAAGAAAAATGTTTCTGTTAACATCTATGTTTTGGGTTTACGGATGGTGCAAAACAAAAGCAGATATTTTTCGAAGTTGTTCAATAAAAAATCAACGACTTTCAAGGACCCAAAACGAAATTCAAGTACTTTCAAGGCCTTGAAATCGGCCCCCTGAAATTCAAGGGTTTTCAAGACCCGCCGTACGAACCCTGTGCAAAGAGGTAATGAGAGTACTCAAACTCATCAGGTAGAATTTGTTATCCTGATCTAACACCAAATTCTTGTAACTTACTTATAAGGAAATGTGTGGCAGCTAGAGGGGAGAATTAACAAACAGATCTTAGGAGCTAAAGAGTTAAGGGTTAAAGCTGACAGCATGGAAGAGACAATGTTACCATGGGTGGTATGGTTTACAAGCACATTGTGATATAATGAAGATAAAACTGACTTGATCAGGTAGAGAAGAGTGTCTCCCAACTTGGCACAAATCAAAACTAACCAATATCATCCAAATCATCTTCAAACACAGGTTTTTCATTTTCATCTTCTTCATAAAACTCAGCATTGAATGCTCTCTGTGACAAAAATTAAAACATATAATGGCATTAAAACTTACACAGAAGATTATTTTTCTTGATTCAAAAGCATTAGTTACAATACTATTGGAAAGCTCCACTTTAGAATCTTGGTGGCATTTAACATGTTTGATGAGTCATTCACAGTTTGTGTGTTGAAGTTTGTAATCTTGACCATCAACAGAGATTCCAGGTGGATGTTTACATAATTCATTATGGTAATAAAAAAAAATGCTTCTGCTACTCACACTACTATCTCTAATAAAAAAAGTAACAATAGTAGTACAAATAATAGTTTTATTGTCCCTGTAGCAATGTGACACTTACAGCTTAGGATGCTAATGTTGTCTCTGTGGATCAATAAGATGCCTCAAAAAAAAAAGGCCACACCCCAAAATTGACCACTACCAATTGCATTGGGATCTTCAAGTATCGCTGTTACTACTTCTTCTAATTGCTATACTCTTTGCTTCATTTGTCAGAGCCCTTCTACTTCAGGTTAAGGACATGCCTGTTTATAATCCTGTTTAGAACCCTGCTCAATACATTGTTAATCTAACAGCATTTCAAACATGATTGTTATTTCTCTTTTGTTTGCAACAAGAGATTACATTCTATAAATTTCCACCATAAATTCATAAATTACCTGCATAGCCTCATCATATTTCTTAGGATCAAAGTCACCTTCAATATCTTCCTCTTTAAAACCCACATTAGGGTTTCCAGTTATTTCTACAACCAAGCAAAATTTAATATTTTTTAATCACAATCATTTAGAAGTCAACAAGACTATTAGAACTGTATTTGTGACTATTTAAAATTTTTTCATTAAGTATGTTGTTTGTTTGTTGACCTTTTAATTTCTCGAGCTTCTCCATAATCTCTTTTCTCTTTAGGTTTTTCAATCTTTTGATTTCTTCACGTTTCTGTTCTTTCTCCTACATAACAGTAACAAAGAAAAGAGTCAATAGAGATAGAGGTAAAGAGGTCAAAACTGAGAATGGACCATAAAACCTTCCTCTTTCTTACCTTTTCTTTTTTTGTCTCTCTTTGTTTTCTCTTCTCTCTGCGACGCTCATCTGTTTTTCTGACAGACCCTTGAATTGTGCGTGGATATGTTTTTACCTAAAGTGACAACCATGTAAATAAAAATAAACAGGAGCTTTTGCAGACAGTTTTGTTGTAGTCAACTATAATTTCTCTAAAAAAAGCAAAGTACCAAACAGATTGAAATCCATCAATCACAA